AAAGTAAAGTATTTGCAATATGCTGTATATCTCTGGACCCATTTTGTTATTTCTTTTATTCCTACAGATACCTGGTCAAATGTAGATAATGTGACATTGCATAGACGTTGCCAGTGCAGCTACAATAAAACGTTGTTCCTCAGTATTAATGGGCTACTTTACACAGTATTTCATGTACAGACACTAAATATATCTTCCTGTTTATATTTCAGTAATACAAAAGACAGCTGACAAGTGAAGGATATAATATTTTTGTCAACATTTCTAACTTATCCTCCAGGTGGATTTTATTTTGAAGTTTGTTGTGTACATGGGCATCCAATAAGAATAAGTATTCTGTAGATGGCAGTCTTTGCTCAGCCATAAAGACAACTACTGCTACTCACAGTGACTACTCAGTTCCTTTGTTTATTTATACCCAAACTGCTGCTGCTGCTGGTGGTGGGAATGTGAAATACACTTCCAGATAATGTTCTAGGTAATTACTGCAGACAATTGTTTCCATGAAAAATACCTGGAAGTAGAGTAGCCAGTAACTAAAGGATCAAGTTTTCTAGGTTGAATGTGGAAAGGTTACAACACTACTGTCTTGGAGGCAGCGGTGAAACAGACATTTACTGTCTTATATAATGCAGAATACCACGCCATGACCCCGGTGAGTCACAGCTAACGGACTCCAGCTCCACAAACACTGTTTTCTTGCAAAGCGGTGATGAGTCAGCTCAAAGTTCGGACAGAAAAATCAACACAGACACCAAGACATCCAAAGGCTGCCTTCGTGTGTCATGTGCTGGACATCTGGATAAGATATGAAGCTGTTAAAATTCAATATATACATGCCTATAAAAAAAAAATAAAAAAAAATGATGTGAAAGATGGTTTAGACTGCTTTTGCGATCAATACTCACAGATAAGCTGTAAATGTGTTTTTGAATTGTCAGAGTGTGTTATATTATATTGTCATTCATTATCTGTTTATATACAAAGAGAAATTAAACTTGTTGATAACTACTTCAGTATAAGTATATAAGTGTTACTGCAAAGATATGTGCATGTTTTGTTTTAACTAAATGTAGTGAGTCTCAACTGTGGATGGAAACTTTGGGTGACCGCCATGATTTTGTGGCCTTATACCTCTTAAAATAAAGCTGGAACTAAGCTACGCTGTACTACACCCTGTATCCTAAACAGCTGGCGTGGCATACAGTGAAAACTACAGTATAATCTTCCACAGCATAATCGCCACCCTCTCCTTTCTTTTCTTTCACCGCCTTGTCTCCTCTCCATACTCTTCTGCCATGTCATGGAAGTCTCCCAAGTAAAACTATTAATGGCCTAAAATAGACACTGAACCAACACGATATCCAAGTGGCCAGCAAAATATAATCCTTTTATTCAGTCACTTTCAACAGCAGTTCCTCTATTTCATTACAATATTCAAGCCGGCTTTCTACCTGCCTACAATAACTATTAACTGTTGTTAGCCTGATTTCAATAGAACACCACTGCTGTGTTTTATTAGAGAAATACAGTGTGTATTTATACTGATGAAGTTGATTGTGTTTGATACAATACCAACATTGATCCTTATCTCTCCTGCTGCCACTTAGAAACTCAGCTGAATCAAGAAAAGCAATTACTTCATTGGTACCAGGAGAGTGCTGTGATTTATTGTGAATTTAACTTCCCGCTCCAGCTCAGGGAAATAATTTCAATTTACAAGAATAAAGAAATTAGCTAACAGCTAAAATACTCCCATGACTTCAAGGGGAAACTGTGACTGTGTTGTGTGAACCAGTCATCACTAATTTTCCTTTAAATTCCTCTGGAGTTGCCGTCTGTCCTGGTGTTGAACTTCCTCGAAAAGATCCTCATTCCTGAGTCCCACACTCATACCGATACATACCGCTATCAATACACAGAAACTGACACACACACACTTCCTTCCTGGATAATGTGACAATGTAACTGTCAAATAATGCCGATAATGGAGTGTCAGCTGTAATGACTTCATGGAGGGCGGGCTACTAAGTTTTAAAAGGAGTAAGTGAGATATGTTGAAATATATTTATATAGGTGGCAAAAGAAATTGATTTGTTCTGTTTGTCATTAAATACACTGGATATACCTTCATTCTTCATGATGTAGTGGACGATCTGTCCGACCGTGTCGTTGTTGTCACTGAGGGTGTCATTCATGTCTGGAAGATAAGGAAACAAACAGAAACATTTATACTAGGTGTGTAATATGTATTCGAAATGATAACACCCTCAAGCAGTTTTGATTGCTAACCCTCAACATAAATCATGCAAGTACACCAACAGTAAAGCACATAAAGGAAACTCTGTTTAGAAATATCTCTTCAGGCCCCAACAGTCTGGACCCCTTTACATCGTAAATTACAACTTGATGGCACAGCTCCTATAGGTTTTACTGTTTAACTGGAGCAGGAATGCAAAGGATGAGCTATAATGGAAACTCACACATAGACTCGTGGAGCTTTTTCTTTGCCTAATACATGAGATTGAAGCGTGGAAAAATATACTGATCTAATATTATTACTGTGATATGAGAGGAGATATTGTCTGGGTTGTTGGCTGTCAAAATATTAGTGTTTTAAACTTGGATTCATGTTGGCCACTTGGGGGCAGCAAAAAAAGCTATAAATGCAACACTTGGTTCATATGGTGAAAATATGGTAGCAAACAGTTGCTTATTTACACCATCCAGCACATCTTGGGAGCAACACATTCAAAATGTATTTTTTTGTTCTGGCCCATCGGATGAATGTAAGTTCAATATTATCTCTGATCTTCTATCTCTCGTTGTAGTCTCCACTAACTCCAGGAGGGAAATATCTGGCTCTTTAGCTGCCGAATGCTCCTCTCATTAATCGTCTGTCTGCTGCTTGGTGCAGGGCAGGTAGCGCAGAGTGGGTTCTTTTTAGAGCCTTTTCCCTAAAAACAGCTCTCTTTCTGCGGTTGGAAACAATGAACACTAAAAAAAAAGAACTAAAAAACAAACAAGGAACTGAAAGATGCTAAAATTAAAATGTTTTTATTATAGCAGCTTGAAAGGTTCTATTATAGCTGCCAATGGTCGACATCAGTCATTTATTGTGTCTTTTACAAGCACCAATCCCCATACAAATAAACAAAACTGCAAATTATTGTTAATTGTATGTTCTGTATCAATGGGAGACCCTCATGTGATCCGTATGTGTGCATATCCCTGTGAGGTACTTCCCAAAGCTTCCTGGTGATTCCTTCCTGAGTTTTTCCTCAGTACTGATAAACATAATACTCATTCAGCCATTCTTGGGAATCTTGATCTTGGTGTAATGAATCGACTGAACTGAACCTATTTTAAAAGGCCATCTGCACAATGTAACAGGGAGTTGCTTCCAACTTATAAAAGTGAGTGAGAGCAGAGAGAAAGAAAAGAGGAAACCCGATCAGTGCGAAACAAGAGGAGACTGAATCAACTGAATGAGAGAGGCCAGAACACACGAGCACTGTTTGTTTTTTCCCCAACTCTTTTGTTTTGACGTATGAGAGAGAAAGGGTTGGGCACATTGATGTAAGACACACACACACGCATACATACAGAGCAAGACGGAAACTTCAAGGAAAAACCCTCATGTATTTATGACTATTGTGCTGCTGGCACACAAGAGAAACCAGCTTTACGCGTATCTTTTTACTCCATTTAACACATGGGGAAACAGGATTCAGTGCAAAGGTTCAGGTACAGTGAAGATGTGATATGCCAGAGAAAAACAGTCGAGCGCTCCCTTGTATGATAACAGTTAAGAGAGACAGCAGAGACTCCCGCCGATTTTGGCAGCACGGTGTAAACTGTTCCTTCTTTCCATAACATTCCTCGTGCCTGTGATATACCCCGAGACATCTGCAGTTGTCATTATGAGGAAATTAAACCGGACCTGTGCAGAGAATTATTTTTGTTTCACCTCACTTAACACACCCCTAATTGAGTCAGAACATGAGCAGTGAATGCCAAACGTCTTTCTGGTTTCTATAGGCCACCACTCCTTAGAAAGACAGAGACAATAGAGGACTAATGGCTGAGATAAGGCTGGGACTTGGTAGAAGCTCTGTCAATATCACTGCACGATGACTCAAATATGGCGTTAATAATATTTCTGAGCTTGTGATTTGACAGCACACAAGTTGAAAACCACTTCTTAAATGATGGTGCATAAAATAACGGAGTATTCCTTAAATAAGCTGTGACATTCGTAGGTCTTTAGTTTGTTTTTATATTGTTTAAGGCATGCAGAAATAGTGAGCAATGTGCTACTGGTTTTTCTAAGAAGGGAGACATTCACATCACAAGTCTTCTGTCTGCACCTAATGTACCTGGCACACACCAAACTCATTAGATTCAGGAATGTAGTAGAAGGCTGTAAGTACTAGAGGGCAGGTGGGAGCATCGAGTGATTTTACTGCATGATAGCTGACCTTGAATGTCACTATCACATGACATGAAAATGGGAAATCTCATGCAGGCCTGTGACTAATTTTGAAACCGAGTTAAAGGAAGTCACTTCTGCATTCATTTTTCCATTAAGAAGCTCAGCAACATCACCGTCTGACTGACTGCAGAAAGAGTTTGGACCGACACTGGACATCAGTTAATGTTTGACTTGACTGGAATTTTTTCAATGACTTGTTCAATGACTTCAATGATCTATATTATGTAGATATTCCATATAGAAGTCTTCATTGTTAGTGGCAGCACCGGATTCAATTTGCCTTCACAAGCACGAGGGGAAGCACAAGGAACGAGGCAGCATGTAAGCTCAGCTTTAAATTTGATCTCATTGGGATCAGTCTCACTCTATACTGTTCACTGTCCTAATGCCATATCAGAGCTGTATAATGCTAATGCAAAGAGAACATCCTACTGCTGCTGCTGCTTCACATTTGAAGCATTCATCTGCTGAAATACGGGTGGCCACAAGAAACCGACTGTGGTCATTCATCAGCAAAGAAAATGGTAATTTTCTGCATTTTTTGACAGCGGATCAATTTTATAAATGACAGGGAAAAATATGTGCTAATAAAGTTGAAACAGTCACAGTGAGCTAACTTGACAGGCCCTGCTGTTGTGTAGAAAACTATACATGTAGTCTGGAATCAGATTGTGGTTGTGATAATTATTGACTGACTTCTTTATCAAAAACAATACTGGTCTGGTTGCAGTGTAAACACACAATTGTTCTGATTAAGTAGCTGTTTAAGGATTGTTTGCTGCCCCTAGAATCTGAGAACCAGGATTGAAATGTGTGCTTAGAAAGGTTTGCTTAAAGAAAGTGGTCACAAAAACCTCACTGCATCAGAAACCTACTACAGAAGTGCTTAGATAACAGTTTGACTCAACATTGTCAACTATGCGGTCTGCTATTAAATTATGTGTATTATTTTAATCGATCGCTTCTTTTTGCAGTGCCTGCCGATCAACTGGGCAACATCCATGCATTAATCTTGGCCCAATTCCCTCAAATTCAAGTACCCGACATGGCATCATTTGAGACACCAATGAAGTATATTTACCGTTTCAACACTGCAAACATTTTTTAATGAGAACGAGCAGAGAGAATCTCACAGATAACAATTGGAGAAAGTAAAAAATAATGATATAATAAATAATAATCCATAAATGTATCAAAAGAACTTAAATTTTTTGCACAAAACATAAGTATAATATAACTATGACTCATGTCTATGCATGTCTTTTCACAAAGGCCTTACAAGGATTTCAAGGACCTGTGGGAACCACAACACTACCAATTTATAGCTTCTTTTCTGTCAAACAATTTTCAATTCCCTTTCTTACCTCCATAATCTCTTCTGCATCTTAGATTAATACAAGCCTGGTTGAGCAATAACCTTGGGTGTGTGCTGTATACAGATGATGGATGACTTAAAACAATGAGCACATAGATGCAATAAACACATAAAGCCAAGTCACCATGTTGTCAGACGCTTTTTTCAACACCTTAGAGTGTTTAAAGTTGCCTCAACTCGCTCCCTCTTTTATTCAGATTTCCTTACCTCCGCCCTGCTCCGGATCCTTGTCTTCTTCCTCGCACTCCTCGTCATCCTGCGCCTCAGTGGTGCACCGATAGCCCTTTCTCTTCAACACGTGGCAGATCACCACCCCCAACAGGCCCAGAAGGAAGAAAACGGGAACCAGGACGAAGGCGGTGTAGTCTGGGGTTCCCCCCGCTGCTCCAGTCTCTGTAGTAGTCTCTGTAGTCTGATCTACTGGACGAAGGGAAGCAAGAAACAGAGACAAAACACAGTCATTATTTTAAATGTTGTTGCAACGGGACACAGAAAAACAGAGCTATGGATTGTCATTACAATGCCAATGATGGCAACCTGATATCCACAGTAAGTCTGAGGCCCTTGGCTGAGCAGCTGAGGGGATTTAAATGCTATCAGCTGCAACATGACAGAGCTTTCATGTTCCCTTCTTGGATCAATCGAGTCTGCTGCCGTCGCTGTCCTCTAACTGCTGGATCCGGTGCGAGCTGTTCCCCTTTTTACAGCTTTGAGGACTCTTTGGTTTAAGAGGTAGACGCAGAAAGAGTGAAAAGGCAAGTTCAGAACAGACAAGTGTCCTAAAAACTGTTGGCAGTGGTAGTGTCGGGGGGGCAGTCAGTGCTTTCTCTTTTATTATGACTCTGTAACTAAAATGCGCTATATAAGTTGACATTGCCGCACCTGATGTGAATTTTTTTTTTTTAAACTTCTTTTTATTTCCCTTTATC